CGCTGCATTAGTCTCTTTATCCTGTTCTGGCAAGGACAGACAGAAACTTCTGAATCTCAGTCATTACCATTGGCAGCCCTATCTTTCCCCTTCTTTTTTGCTCTGCTTTTTTACAAGTGCCTTGGCCATGTAAATCGCTTCTATCTTCACCTTGGAGGTCCCTTATTTTCAACACCGTTCCGCTGCAATCTGTTGAACCGTGATCGGATCTGTACACAGATGTTGAGGACCAATGCCTTCTTTTTTTCCTTGCGGGAAGAAGACCAACGCCCTTCATCAGTACCAGTACTGATACTACCTGAATGTCAAACTACCTGAACTGTCTTGCACCTGGTTATTTCAGACGGACGGGCAAGTTCAGCACTGCGTTTTAACAACTTCGCGCGACGTCAAGCTGAACCACTTCACACATCCCTTTTGCAGACCAACGCGTTGCAGTGATGGCAGTGACAAGTCCACGGCATGGCGCCCTGCTACCAAGGCCACGAATGAATGCAGCAAGGGTGGATAGACGCAAACGGCAACGCCGGGCGCCGGCTTTACGCCGGCCAGTTCGGCACCGTCACTTCAGGCGTCCAGAACACCGTCACTTCCGCAGAAAACAGAAAACAATATCTTTGCTTGGCCCAGCTGCCGGCCCAGCGTGTGTGTGCTAGTATAACAATCTTTTCTCCTGTATAACGTCAACAGCGACGCTGTGGCGTAATGGCTAGCGCGCGCAGCCGCAGGCCTGAAGGGTCGCGGGTTCGAATCGCCCTCGGGCGCGTTTTTTCGACCGTTTTGGTTATTTATTTGTTCAATTCGCCGGAAACTTTCGAACAAGTCTGTGAAAAACTTGCGAACGAAAAAAAAAAAACGGTTAGATACACTGTCAATACGTATAAATCAGCGTTTTAGCCTTTTTTGCAAAAAATTGGACCAATGTTGGTCCGACACGCAAAAATTAGCAATCGTGGTACCAATCTGCATGTGATGCCCGAATTGTGGTACTTCTGTGCAATTAACTCGTCCTGAGCCCATAGCACCTACTTCAACATGATCTACGGGCTGCTAACAAAGAGGTGGCGCTGGCGAACACAACAAGGCGTACAAATGTCTCGAAAGAAATAAAAAACATAGTTAAGAGGGAAAAACTTGAGTTGGCACTAGGGAAGGTTCGAACCTTCACTCAATTGTTCTCTAGATTCGTCGCTGGAACCGTTCAGCTCGAAGGAGTGTGGTCCCTTCCTGCTGGACTGCCAACTTGGCAGCCTAGTGCCTGCGCGGTGCTCCAAAAATGATAGCAGTGTGGTCCACCTTTCTCTAAAAGAGGAAATAAGCAACAAATGAAATATAACATGAAAATGCAAATGAGGCAACAGGAGGGACCAGATCCCCACATGAATGAG